CTCTATCACGGTTTTTCAAAATAAGAGTGGACATGACACACAATTGGCCAGTGGTGGGATGTAACGAAGTACAAGTACTTCGTTACTGTACTTAAGTACATTTTTCATGTATCTGTACTTTACTTAAGTAGAGATAAACATGGGTACTTTTGACTTTTACTTCACTACATTTTCCATTAAGTAGCTGTACTTTCTACTACACTACATTTCTATAATGCGTTGCGTTACAAGTTACATTCATGTCACATTGTGTTTTTTGATTTGTTCATTAGTTTGAAAGTAACCAATGGTGAGAGGGGAATTGGTTCATTGAACCAACCAAATTAGGCAGGTAACGTTAGACCCGCCTTCAGAAAGAGCTGGGTCAGTGACGTTTACGACCTGTGTGCTCCCACAGCACCTGGCTCTAACACACCCAAAATGGATTCCATCTCTGAGAGTCAGCAGGAAGATACGTGCCACCCATGGCCTTATTTAAAAAATCTCTGAGTTAACCGGTTCAAAAAACAACTCGTGGAGATTCCGGTGTCAACTTTGCCTCCCCCGAAACCATGAACTCCTGTCTTTCAAAAATTTGCCGTCAAATCTGAAAAAACACATTGAGGTAAGTAAAGTTGCTAAATGTTTCCTGACTTTTGCATGTGAAATTAATTTAGGTTAGTGAAGTCTTACGTAACCTTAACTAGCTTCTTGTTCAACTGTACCGCTAACAAGTAAACACAATTAAATAATTATAATCTAGCATGAACTGGCAACATGCATGTTGTTAACACAGTGTCGTCTTAGTCATGCGTGTTTGCTTGGACGCTAAATAACATGAGCAGCAGTGTTTGTTGCTTGTGTGGCTAGGAGCTCATTAGCCCCATGCTTATTCATAAGATGATATACAGTATTATAGAATGACAGGATTAACACCGTGATAATTACTTTACAGCAGTGGTCTCAAACTGATCCGTGAAAGAGCTGCTGTGGCAGCAGATTTTTGCTCCAATTAAGCAAGTGGACATCTGAAATGGCTGTATGAAGACGGTTTAGTTCAGGGGTCTGCAACCTGCGGCTCTGGAGCCACATGCGGCTCTTTGGTTCCTCTGCAGCGGCCCTTTCAGGCTTTGACCAAAACTAACATAAAACTGAATTTTATTGGTTATACAAACTACAAAAAAGGATGAGTTCAAACAGTTTTCCTGTCATTTATTTTGCAAATATGTGAACACTGGTGCGAGTACAAGGAGAAACATACTTTAACTTGATGCTTTATTTCTTTATATGAAGAACTGTCTGCATAGTTTATAGATTTTTTTTATTTAAAAAAGATGGTAAAAACTGATTTTTTTTCCCCTCCTTCTTTAAAAGAATCTGTTTTTTTTTTTACTTTAAATGTTAAAAATCATTAGATATTTGTTTGCTTTATAATGTCACCCCTACTGGCCATAAAAGCCAGGGGAACTGCTCGCTGAGAGGCAGCAGCTCTACCAGTTGCGCCACCGTGCTGCCACGGTTCAGTGTTCAGTAAAATGGAACACTGTAATTTTGTAATGTATTACAGAAAATATACATAAGGTACGAATACTTAATGGTATTGTAGACCATTGCATTAGGTAATACATTCAGCAAGTAATTTTACTTTTAATACTTTAAGTATTTTTAAAAGCAAATACTTTTTACTTTTACTTAAGTAAAAACATTAATGTGGTACTTCTACTTTTACTAGTGTACATTTTTGTCTGTTTATTTGTACTTTTACTTAAGTACAGTGTTTGAGTACTTTCTTCACCACTGCAATTGACTGAGTGATGGATGAGCCACATGACTGGCATGGAATCTTTACTTAAAATGAATAATTTTAAATTATTTAGCACCTGCTGCATGTTTGTGCAGCCTACAGCTGCAGAAAAAGCTTCCGCATGTCTTATCTTCGCTCTGCAGCAGAGAAGTGTGTGTCCACTAGTCATGTCCAATCTTATTTTGAAAAACTGCGATAGAGCAAGTCCACGAAAAATGAACCGCAAAGTAGTGAGGGATTACTGTACAACTATTTTGTAGTTACTCAACCTGCTATTGATGGCTTGGTGTAATCAATCATAGGTAGTTAAAATGTATTGGCTGAAATTTCTGTCAGTTATCTGCATTTCAGCATTAGTTCAACATCTTTCCTGGTTTAGGTTTTATTATAATGAAAGATTTCAATCAATGAAAAAAAGAAATGCCTTTAAATTCCAATTGTCAAATATTAATACAGTATATTGCACCAGTCTTTTTCAGAAATAGTAAGTTTTACAAGAAAAGCTTTAAATTATGGACTGACTGAATTTGTCGATTGTTTTCATGGTCACATTCTTCCATTGTTTCAGCTGAACCAGGACTTTTTATTTCCTTACTTTTACGTAGTTTGGTGCAGCTCTTACCGTCCTCCTCATTCCAGATAACGTTTGAGATGCAGAAGGTGGCAGCAAGCTGCAGCTTCACATTCGAATGTCCCTGTGGGAACAGAGGATGTAATGAATAACAAAATCACACTATTTCCAAATTACCATATGTGTATGCACACACACTGTCTCTGTCTGTCTGTCTATCTACCTATCCGCCTATCTATCTATATACACAGTATATATTTTTATACATAGTGTGGCTATTTTGTATTTTGACATAGCAACCTAATTTCGATAGTGACCTATGTTATGTCTAGACGCTGCCACACACTGAAATGGAAGTAATCACGTAGCCTATTTTTTAAGTTATTTGGCTCAAATTATTTACATTTATACAATATACACATATACAATTTCTTCAGTTTCTTACTGCAAGACATTACTGCTTTTACTGTGCCACTAATAATATCAGTATTTATTTTCACAACTTTTACTTAGATCTTGAAGCAGTAGTTTCTTTTTGAACAATTTATTCAAACCAAACACATTTTCTACCAACTATTCCTGACAGGAACAGTTTTCAATGAAGACCCTTCTTCCTAATTAATTTTGTTTATAAAGAACAGCTTAACATTAAACATGTATTTAACTCAAAATGAAACAAAAGAAAACCAGAGTTACACAGTACCATGTAGTATTTGATTTTTTGAAGCATGTCATCATTGGTCATGATTAGCTCCTTGGCTGTGGTGCCGTCTGCAATGTTGGCGAGAATACACATTGTCTAAAAGACAAAGAAAAGTGCTTCATCAGTGCTTTCATTTGAACTTTGTGATTCTGAACAAAAGGCTCAGCTGCTCACAGCATCTCTTCCATGTGCTTCCATTTCTGAAGATGCACACCACAGCTGGATGAGCATCCATGAAAAAAAACCTTATATCAGATAGAGAGCCTATGACCACATGTACAGATGGTCAAAGCTCTCTGCAGCACAGCAACAAGATGAATCTGAAAATAATCTGTGTGAGGTGGAGTGACCACTCACCTGTTCCTTGACCTCAATGCTATGCTCTGCTTCCAGGATAAGAGTCACTGCCTGCATTATCTGCTTCCCATGAGAGCTCATGATCTGGTCAATGTGCTGTCAACATAAAGCATTCATTGAAAAATATTTCACATTCAGCACAATGTGGGTCATGGAGAAATCAAGACTGGCTTCAGTTTTTCTTTTTGTGTGACACTATTGAGTATTGACTGCAGTGTAGCTTATAAACATCCTGAAAAAGGTGCGACACAAATGCAACACTTGAATATCAGGAAAGATTATTTCCAAACATCAAACATGGTGAACTTGTTGTAACTTACTACATTTATGGATCACATTTAACTGTTTGATTAAAAGAAAATAATTAAATGTTATAGTTGTGTTTTCCAGTGAGGGCCGCCAGGGGGCGCTAATGGGTCTTCAGAAAGCTGGAGAGGAGAAGGAAAAAAAGAAGCAAATATATATATTTTTTTAATTAAAATGATTATTTTTTTAAATTACTGTAAATAAATTGAATCGATTTTTCAATAATTATTTTAAAATATATTTTATATAATATATTGAAATATTTTTCACCATGCTCATCTTTCTGATTGGCTGCCAGTCAAATGTGTCAAGCTGCTTTACTCTTCAAGCAAAGCAAGGACGAAATGAAGATGTTTCTAAAAGGACCGAAGGAACTGACCAGCAGCCCTGCTGTGGTGGAAACTGCTGCAAACCAAAAAAAACAACAACCAAAGAACTCGTGGCCAGCTAAAATTCAAAGGTATGAGGAAGCATACATTAAGTATGGCTTTACAGTCATACAGAAATATGGCCATGATTGCTCGAAACGTGTCATCTGTCTGGAGACCCTCGTAAACAAGTGTTGAAAACCTTCAAAACTTCAGCTCCACTTGAGTGGAGTGTTTAAAACATGTTAGTTAATAACATTTTTATGCTCAGCAGCTGTAATAATTAATTGAATATAGTGAATAAAAGTTAAAACATTTGAAAAGTTGATGTTTCTTTACATATTTTGCAACATTGTGGGTTTGTGATGGGGGCCTCGGCCAGAAGCTAATGCTGTTTGGGGGGGGCCATGGCATAGAAAAGTTTGGGAACCCCTGCTATAGTTGACTCTCAGAAACAATATTTTTGTGTTAACCAGTTAAGCCAGCATGAAATTCAACACATTTGTATTTATTCCACCTTAACTGCATCAGTGATAAATGTTTGAATGAAAGGACGGCCAAGGCAAATAAAAAACTGTTGGAATGGGGTTTGTCCGTTTTCATGTGTGTGAATCACATGCAGATTAAATTAAATAGTTGCTCTCTGCAGCACCAGCCCTCTAAAGCTAAACCTGTGATGAAGATGCAATCTTCTTTTAATCTACTTTTTTCATTTACATATTTATACATTTTTAGTACCAGTCATACCAAACCATGTGGTAAAATACAGTTATTTGCCATCAATGTTGAATATAGATTCCATCACAAGGTGATTAGTAAATAAGTTTTTATTTTTTTTCTCCCTTAAAGCAGGGGTGTCCAAACACTTTCATATGCAAGTCAAAACTATCAACATGAAAGGACTCGTGGGCCACAAAAATGTGAATTTAACTCTTAACGTGAACAACATTTTGAAGAAACGACAAAAGTTTACTAATTTTGGAGTTTTAAATTGTAGATCTAAAACATTAAAAGCCTCATAAACACTAAGATAATTTATTTTTATTAAAAAGGGTTTATTTGATTCGTTAGGTCTATGTTTGTTTGTTTTTGTGTGTTTGGAAAGTCCATTTTAGTCTGTTCTCAGCAATAAAAGCATAATTTGAGTAAGAGTCCTTTAAAAAGGGGGTTGATCTGCCTTTTGGACCATGGACGGCCCAAAAGGCTGATCGACCTTTTGAAACATCATCCAGCTGTCAGTCGCTACAACAGATTCAAGGAAGGTTTGATAAAGATGATACCACGTTATATTCATTAAAAATGTCTAGTTTCCCTCTTGATTACCGTATTTTCCACCGTACACGTCACTCCACCTCATAAGTCGCATCAGTCCATATTTGTCTAATAAAGTGGAAAAATCCATAAATATGTTGCTTCGCCGTATACGTCGCTTCTATTATGCGTCACTGCTGACGTGCTGCGTTTGTTACGCGTCACCGTTGACAACCCGAAAATGTGGGCCGGTGTTGTGCCAAAAATCGATGGGCTGCCAAATAGCAGCCGTGGGAGCATGCACGGGAGGTCTTTAACACGAATTTAACAAAATTAACACTTTAAAACAATTATTTGTTTGCTCAAAATTATAGTAAATGTGTGTCTCAGTGTCACATTTGCTTAATAAGTGCACTTTTAACGGACAAATCAGCTGCATTTCAAAAGCCGATAAGCGGAAGTGACCGTGTGCACGCGACAAGTCGCTGTGCAAATTTAACAAGATAAACACCTAAAAACAATTACTTGTTTGCTCGAAATTATAGCAAATGTGTGGCTCAGTTTAACTTTTCCTTAAAAATGCACTTTAATGTTCAAATCAGCTGAATTTCAAATATAGTAGGTCTGAAACGATTCCTCAAATAATTCTTGGACCTCGATTACAAAAAATCCTCGAGGCAAATTTATCTTCCTCAAAGCTTCGTTAAACTTTTCAGAGCACTGTGGTCTAGCCAGGTTTTTGTGTTACACAAAGCTACCGCTTCTGATAGCGCGTATGTGCTAAGTTTGCAGCTATGGAGGGAAATAGAGAGAATGTTTCTTAGAAGAGCCCGAAAACAACAAAAACGGTCAAGTTTGGGAACATGTTAGGCTAAACAGAAAAGACAACACAGTGAAATGCATCCACTGCAAAGCATAACTGAAGTAACCACAACAGCACGTCGTCGATGTTGCAGCATCTGAAGAGAAAACACCCGCTGTAGCATCAAACTCGTCCGCAGCTGCAACAGTTATGTTCTTCTGCAAAATACGTGAACCTAAATATGTGATAATCTGTCATGTTATACATGTAAAACGAGACATCTTTTTGCTAACGTTACATCTACTGACTAATCATAGTGGATACCTGGCAGGGTCTGTACGTTGCGTGAGGAAAAAACTGCAGGACTTGATGCAAGTTTGTTAATTATGAAAGTAGCAACAGACTGACGGCATGAGCTGAAACACATTTATTTATTGCTGTACTTCCATCCTGACTTAAATGAGATATTTAGGATGAATATTTTAAGTGTAAATGAGTTAGTAGGATCTTTTTCTGCTTGCTACAGCTGTTTATGACTTAAACTGGGATTAATCTGCATTTATGATTTATTACTACTGTCATATGTTTATAGCTAAGCACTCAAGACTACACAGTATGCAGAACTCAATGTACAAACTCAAACTTTTACATTGTCCATCTTACTTATTCAAATTCTAACAGATTCCATTCAATTTTCCAATCCATAAAAATTATTTTATAGCATTTAGATTTTTCTGTGATGTATAAAAATAATTCAGTGACAGAGGGTTTTAATTAAAGGATCCTCAAGCCTCACACATAAATAAAAGCTTAAAATGCATAAATCAAATACAACTGACATACTAAAGTTACTTTGATTGCAACAGGGTCATCAGAAAGTGTAGATTACCCCTTAACAATATTAAATAATTTTATAATATCCAACGAAGTACACTTGAAAATTTATTAAGGAATAACAATGAACAAATAATTTTATTCTTCTTCTTTTCAGTAAATGGCAAAGTCATATTGTTGGACAGCTTCGTACAAAGGGCTCCAGGATGTTGGGTTGTGGAAGCAGCTGAGTTCACAAACAGCATTTTAAATATGATCATCACAGGCATGCAGCAGCTGTCCGTGGTGGAAGATGAAGGATCCAGAAGATCATCTCCACCTTCAATCCAAATGATGTCCTTCCTTCCAGATCCTACTTTGTAAATTCCATTCAGTTTTCCAATCCATAAAAATTATTTTACAGCATTTAGATTTTTATGTGATGTTTAAAAATAATTCAACTTAAGCAATAAAATATTTAAAAAAAAAAAAAAAAAAAAAGGAATTAAATGGGTTGTTTATTTAAAAAAAAAATTTTTTTCATGTATTTGTATTACTCATAAAATGAGTACGGTAATTACTGCAGAACCTTATTTATTTATTTTTTTTTAATTACTCGACCAATCGCCAGAATAATCTTTAGATTACTCAAATACTAAAATAATTGTTTACAACAGCCCTAAAAAATAGTTTTGCTGCTGAGGTCCTCCAGGAGCGCACAGAGGGAGTAAAAAAAAAAAGGGAGGAGGAAAGCTGCTTGTTTCTTCAAAATTTAACAAGAAAAGCACCGAAACAATTATTTGTTTGCTCGAAATTATAGCGAAGGTGTGTCTCAGTCTAACATTTGCTTAATAAATGCACTTTAATGGTCAAATTAGCTGCATTTCGCCAGGGCAGTGCAGCTGGGTTAACTTGCTCCAAGCAGCGAGCAGAACGAAGGTGAAGGTTATATGGCAAGCCGATTGTGTCATTAATAGCTGGTGAAGATTCTCAGTCATCCAGGACATGGTAACTTGAAAAAAGTTCAAGAAAAAAAACAAAGTATAAAGTATAATAAATAAAGTCCAGTTGTTTTTTGTCTTGAACTTTTTTGAATTTGTCATTATAGCCACGTTTACCAATTACATGATACAACGGCATACCTTACTGCTATTACTCTGCTGCCGTGTAATGGCTGAACGTGGTACAGTTCTTTTTATTTAAAAAAATTTTTTCAGTCAGAATGAATGAAAACAGTCATATATCATCCAAAAATTGGTTTATAAATATGGGGAAAAAAATCCATAAATACATCACTTTGGCCTATAAGTTGCAGGGCATGCAAATTATGCAAAAAACTGACTTATAGGCAGAAAAATACGGTATTTTATCAAATGCAGTATTTAGCCAAGTTTTATGAAGCATTATCCAAAAGTCTTCATTCTGGTAGAAGTCAGTAAAGGTTTTTGGTGTTTTGTATCATGAAGTGAAAATAAAAAGATCATAGCTAAAGGTTTGTATTTTGCTTAATATTGCTCATTTTGAGCAGATAGTTTTCCGTCCATTTTGCTGTACCAACTAATTTGCAGAAAGTCTGCATTGACCTCTTAAGCCTGCTGGCCAAAATGATACCATTCTTAAACTGCAGTTGTGGGCCACACAAAATCACTCCAAGGGCCGCAAATGGCCCTCGGGTCACATTTTGTACACCTGTGCCTTAAGGGCTTTTGAGGTTATAAAATTCCTTTTTAAAAAGCTTCTCGGCAGCTTCTCAGCTATAATGACACAAATGACAAAAAAATAAGCATTATGTGTAGCACTGTTTAATGTGTGTGTTTGTGTGTGCGCGTGTTCTCACTGGGCGTGTTGACAACAGGTTGCGCAGCAATCCAAGGGTTTTCATCAGCACATTGGTGTCCGGGTCAGAAAGCAGACGGAACAGTTGGTCTGTGCCCAAACATTGAACGATCTCCACCTTTACTTTCTGATCTGCCTGGAACGCCATGTTCTTAAACACACACAAAGGTTCTGTTTTTAAGGCTGTTTCTGGCGGTGGGACTCGGCTTTTTTTTTTGTTTGTTTTAACAGGGTAATGTAAAACCTGGGTAATTATAATTTTAGGTGTAAATATAGAAAGGTGAAAATATTAACAGATGAAAAGACATTTAAACATTCAAGCTTGAAATAAAAGTCAAAACTTGTTGGAAAATGGGTTGTTAAAACAAAACAACAAAATAGTTTTCTCACCATCAGGGCCCAGATCCCATTTAACCTCAGAGCATGACTGCCACTCTGAGTCAGACTGCATAGTAACTCAATCACCCCCGACTCCAGAATGGGCTTCAGTCACATGCAAAACAACAAGTTTCAATATTCAATGTTACACATTATGGATTTTATGTTTTTAAGACATTAACCTTCTCTGTCTCTGATTGAGTCTGATTTTTCAGCACCTTTCAACATTATTCCTTCAAAGGGCATTTTAGGTTTTTAAAGTTTGACTAACGATGAGCTGAAAGCATTGACCTTGAATTAATTGAAAACAAGTGTGAACTCATTTTGACAAGTAGTATGCCGATGTCCTCCATCAGAGGGATTTGAATAGTGAATGTTTGTAGTTTTTGAGATGAGTGTTTTACTGGACGGCAGCACGGTGGCGCAACTGGTAGAGCTGCTGCCTCTCAGCGAGCAGGTCCTTGGTTCAAACCCCGGTCCAGGGGCCTTTCTGGGTGGAGTTTGCATGTTCTCTCTGTGCATGCGTGGGTTTTCTCCGGGTACTCCGGTTTCCTCCCATAGACCAAAAACATGCATGTTAGGCTGATTGGTAACTCTAAAATTGTCCCTAGGTGTGAGTGAGAGAGTGAATGGTTGTTTGTGTCGTTTGTCTCTATGTGGCCCTGTGATGGACTTGCGACCCATCCAGGGTGTACCTCGCCCCTCGCACAGTGATTGCTGGACATGGGCACCAGCGACACCCGTGACCCAAAATGGAATAAGCAGGTAAAGATAATGGATGGATGTTTTACTGGACTTGAATTGAACAGAAAAAACAATTTTTTTTTTGGTGCAAGACATTCAGGTGTGTGGAAGTTACATCATATTGGAACAGAGTTTGTTTTATGCTTGTCCGAGGTGGTGCAGAATGATGAATCCTGGAAATCTGGGAGCAACTTTATTCACCACCAGGTACAACGGCAGAGCCAGGGTATGGCCAATGAGAGACCTGGCCACCATAGATTATTTTTTGGCCACACCATGAACTACCTCAATTATTTGAGGACATTGTACTTGGAAGCATCATAAAAAGTAGGAGGCATAGTTTCCTCAAATGATATTGACATGGAAACACAATTTCTGATCTGGACCATTCTAATCTTCTCCTTGAAACCCCACCTCATCATGGTGGAAGAGTTTGAGCACCTGAATAATCTTAGGAACTAGGGTCTCCCAAGGCAGCCTCTGCTCCTAGGTGACAGGCTGGACAAAGAGCGATACCAAAGACTAATATGGTCAGACAAAATCAAGTACCTCAGTGTCCCTTGCCCGGATGTGGGTTACTGTGGTCCCAACCTAGAGCCAAGCCTTGGAGAGGGGCTCATCAGCAAGCGCATGGTGACCAGGTCTCTACTCATGGGGTCTGGTGGGGCTCAGCCCGAATGAGCAACATGGGGGTGCCTTCCTGTGGAACCACCACCTGCAGGTGGGGTCATACGAGTCGGGTGCCAAGTGCCACTGGTTGTAGCCGAAGGCTCGGGCCTAGGCACTTTGACTCTGGCTTACCAAAGCTGGCTCTTGGGACATGGAAGGTCAACACTCTGGTGGGGAAGGAGCCTGAGCTTGTGCCTGAGGTTGAGAGGTACTGACTAGATATAGCTGGGCTCACCTTGATGCACAGCATTGGCTCTGGAACCAATCTCCTTGAGAGGGGCTGGACCTTATTCTACTCTGGAGTTGCCCACGGTGAGAAGTGCCGAGCTGGTGTGGGTCTACTGTTAGCCCCCTGACTTGATGCTTGTGTGTTAGTTTTCCCCAGTAGATGAGAGAGTAGCTTACTTGCACCTACAGGTGGGGGAATGAGCACCGGCGGTTGTTTGTGCATATGCTCCAAACTGCAGTTCAGTGTACCCAGTCTTCTTGAAGTCATTAGCGAGGGTGATGGAACGTGTTTCAGCTGGGAATTCCTTTATTCTGCTGGGGGACTTCAACGTCCAAGTGGGTAATGACAGTGTAACCTGGAAAGGTGTGACTGGGAGGCCATCAAGCTGAAGGAGGAGTCCAGTCGGGCCTTGTTGGCTTGTAGGACTCCAGAGGCAGCTAAGGAGTATGGGCAAGCCAAGCAGGCTGCAGCCTTGGCTGTTGATGAGGCAAAGGGAGGAGTTTGGTAAGGCCTTAGATAAAGACTCTCGATCAGGTCTGAGGAAATTCTGGCAAATCCTCAGGCGGCTGAAGCTGGGAAAGCAGCATTTTACCAACATTGTTAGTGAATGTAGGGTGCTGTTGACCTTAACCAGTGGCACCATCCTGAGGTGGAAGGAATACTTCTCTGACTTTCTTAACCCCTTGAAGGAAGCTGAGTCGGGGGACTTCGAGGTTGGTCTGTCCATCATCGGGGCTGAGGTCACCTGAGGTGGATGAGATTTTCCCTGAGTTCCTTGAGGAGCTGGATGTTGAAAGAGTGTCTTGGTTGACACACCTTTGCAACATTGCATGGACATTGGGGGCAGTGCTACTGTATTGGCAGACTGGTGGTGGTTCCCCTCTTAAAAAACGGGGCCGGAGGGTGTGTTCCAATTTTAGGGGCATCACTATCCTTAACCTCACCATAAGGGCTATCCAAGAACCTTGGAGAAACATGTCCGATCGATGGTCAAACCTCAAATTCAGGAGGAACAATGCGAGTTTCGTCCTGGCTGTGGAAAACACTTGACCAGCTCTTTACACTCAAGGAGGTTGTCTCCAGATCAGGTTGGTAAAAATTATGCTTTGTTTTCAGTGAAACAAGTGTGGTCTGACATGAAGGGTTTTTTTTTTGTTTTTTTTTTTTACAATTTTCTTCCCCCCCCCAATAAAACTATACTCCTGCAACACAACAATTTCTGTTTATTTATTTTTATTTTTTTTTACTGATTTGGATATACATACTACTGAGCTACTGCAGCATGGTGCATCCACTACTACCCTGATTTCAATCAAGGCAACAGAAGTATGGTGTTCTGAGCTGTGGAGCGTCCGATTCCTCAGCCTACAGGCATGTGAAAATGCTTTTTGTACTCAACGTTTACTTGTACAAGTGTTGTTGCGCTTTACATCCAAACTAAAACAATTTTTTCGGACAAAATGAGAGGCGGAATAGCAAAAAGGAAAGCTTTACTTTCCTTGTTGATAATTCTTAAGATAGGATGCTTTCCTATCTTATCACAACACTCAAAGCCCTTTACACTACAATCTGTGCCCTCATTTACCCATTCACACAGCACTCTACTAGATCTAAAGCTAATTGAACAAATCATTCTAAAGAGACTGATCAATGCTTTATCACATTCATACACTGATGAGACACATGTCGGAGGCAATGAGGGGTTCAGTGTTTGGCCCAGGGACACTTCGGCATGTGACGGCTGGTGGAGTCAAACCCCCAACTCTTGCATTGAAGGACAATTGCTCTAACCACTCAGCCACAGCCGTCCCGTGTGCAGAAGGATGCAAAGAAGACTGTTGGAGTCAGCCTCCCTACCATCACAGACATCTACACCTCCAGATGCAGGAAGAGGGCCATCTGCATCATGAAGGACCCCACTCACCCAGCACACACTTTTTGCCCTGCTCCCCTCAGGAGCATTAAGTGTAGAACCACTAGACTGAGGAACAGCTTCTACCCTGAGGCTGTTAAGACTCATGAATCTCTAACCAGGATAATCACTGTGAAAAAAAAAAAAATCACATCATGCTGCTGATCTGTTTCATGTTGCAGTGTTCATTCATACTCATCTGCTCACACAGATTCATGTTCGTACTGCTGTCCAGCGTATTGTTTTTGTACTACTACTACTTAGCGTATTTTTGGTTTAACGTTTTTCTTAGTTCATAGCTTAGATCTTATTACCGTTTTTCTTTTACATGATGTACTTTTGTTGGATGTAACTGGGACCCTGTGTACACATTTTCATTCCACCACATGTGGTGCATATGACAAATAAAGAAACTTTGACTTTTTTTTTTAAACTTTGATCCTTTTCACCAATATTCTTGCTCGATATAGGAGATTGAGACAAAGTGAAGTTTGAATACGATCTGCTGGCCTCCACAAAAAAACAAACTGAAATAAACTACATTATTTTAGTACTGTTTATACCTCTGGTAAAAACATAGAAACAGTTGGGAAGCTTTAATTCTTAACAACAAAGTCCATGCTCAATAATCCAGGTAGACAATCCAACATTTTTCAGTCAGGTCATCTGGACAGTTTCCTTCCGGATCGAAGGTGAAACGTTTCAGCACAAAAAAAAAAAAAAAAAAAAA